TGTGTTTTTTGAACTTTAAACCACATAAACACATTTCATTACACCAAATACACAAAATAATGTTCTTTTTAGCAACATCATATGACCCCTTTAAATTGCAGATAAGATTTGAGAATTATAAACATTATTGTTCATAATGTAATGTGCTTTGAACATTAGGTTTAAGTACATTAAGTGTCCCTATGCAGAATCTTTTTTCCTTATAATGATTCCTCGCTAGATGTTTTAAAACAATACATTACTATTATTTTATTATATACTCGTCTATAAAGCAGAATGTTCAATATTTCAACAGTGAATGCAACTCTGGATGGTGATTCAGCTAATGCATGTCTCTTTGAGCCTGAAAATGGGAAAGAAGTGATAGATGACGAAACAGAACCATAAAAAGGTAAAGATGGAGGCAAAATGACAAATTTGATGAAAATTATCTTTATGATGATTAGACAGATGGATGCTCCTCGAGAGTGTATTTTTTAACTATTACACTATAACTATACTGTGTGGGATTTAGCAGTAATCAGACACCTGGTCAGGCTTTTAATGAGAAACTTTGTCAGTTTATTAGTTTAGATCCTGTCTGGTGTAAAATCTCCACTGAACCACTGATCATCTGTGATCGTTTCTGATGTGATCATAATTAGTATCCTAGAAATTACTTATTTGGAAATGATTTAGTGCATGTAATAGTAATATTAAGCAGCATTTGATGTATAGTCCTGAAAATGTGTGAGCAATGTATTGATTTCTGTGGTTTCACATTTCAAATTCATCTGACCCATATGGAAAGCACTGAATTTTAAAAAATTGCAGCAAAAATAGGCTGCAATGCAACATTGACACAACTTTTTACAATCTTATCGCAGTTGACACAGTGTTATTTAAACACTAAACAGGTACAAAGGAAATATGTACAATATTCAGTGTAGGTGATTCAATTATAAACTAAATTTGTGTAATAAATATCTATGAGGCAATACTTACAATGCAAGTTTATGATCTTAAGTAAGTTTACTTTGAGCATGTAAATGTAATACCTACCCATGAATAATACGTAAATGTGATGCTAAAATACAAAATGTTTCTATTGTTCTGTTTTATTCAACTCAAATGAAGTTCTATTTCTATTCTCGCCAGACGGTGGCGCTATGTACTTATTATTTTATTGGTAAACTCTTGATCCAGTGAATTTGGGCTCTTGTCATAGAAGACTCCTTGCTTGCTGTTTGTATGTACAATGAAGCAATTGCTTATAGAGGTCTGAAATTTCTGAACATAATGTTAAAAACAGATTGTTATTGAAACTAATATCTTCTGTAGTCCATTCTTTTTTAAATAAACCATCAAATATATGTCTTTTAGCCTCTGAAAATTTTTTAAAATATGGTACATAACAAACTTTATTCATATATTTTCAAGCCCCACCTGCACATGTGTCAGGAAACACACTTATTAAGTATTTTGGTTTTATTTTTGTATGTTGTTGAATGTATGGAACTGATGATAAAACAGAAGAATAAACTAGACTTACTGTACCTGTGATGAATGTCTGATGGTGTGCTGAGTGCTTTCTAGATGGTAACTTGCTGCTGCAAATCAAAGGTGTCTGTGATACTTTGGTCTCTATATGGCTTTGTTCCTGCTACATTATTTTTCTATTTTTAAACATTTTTTATCTCTCAAGTACAAGCAATAGTATGATGCCTGTAATTGTAATTGTACCCCTAATTGTAATATGTCATTACATAATATTTTACATTGTTGCTCATGAAATTAATTGTCTGGTGTATGGCGTGTGATTATTAAAGGGGTCATATGATGCTGCTAAAAAGAACATTATTTTGTGTATTTGGTGTAATTAAATGTTTATGCGCGGTTTAAGGTTCAAAAAACACATTATTTTCCACATACTGTACAAAACAAAGTAGTTTCGCTTTCACAATGAAACAGCGTCACACACGGCGGCCTACAGTGAGCAGAGGCCGGGGGCTAGCGTGAGGAACGGCGGGAGGGTTCGAGTGAGCAGAGGCGGGTGGGCTTGAGAACGGCGCGGCCGGCGATTTCAACAAAGGAGCGTCCGGAAGGACATGTGACGACTCCGGGCTGGACTCCGCTTCGTCCACGGTGAAAGCCGATCCGGTGATCCACAGCGCAAAGTTGTAGTATTTCCTCAGCAACCAGCACAGATCAGCTCTAGGCATGACGAAGCAGATATCATCCTCTTTTGGAAGGCCAAACAAAGTAGTTTCGAAATCGCATCATATGACAGACAAACAGACTTTTATAGACTTTTATTTAAACTAGCACCTGTCTCTATGAGATACACTGTAGAAATATGCTTTAAAAATGTGTTTCCTGTTTTAGTTGTCCATCTTTAGCTGTGTGAATTACCTGATACTGCAGTTGAGTTACTGGCTGGGTGTCTGTCTGGTTGAAGGGGCATGCTAATCTATTTTCTGAATGAATAGAGATGCAGAGATTATCTGACAGACTGCTGATCACACTGAACCGAGGACTCGCAGCACACACGGGACGTCTGGATGGGCGATTCAGAAAAACTGTTGCATAAGTAGAACATCACACTGGACATGTCGTGTGTGTGAATACGTGATCTGCTGAAGATTAAATGAAATCATTGTTATGACTAACTAGGCCTTTTGCTTTATCCATGTTTTAGTTAAACTCTGGCATTTTTAAAGTCATGCCATAGCTTGAAAGGTAATTTGTGCAACATTTATCAGTATTGTAATTCATAAGTCAATGTTATCAAATATAGTTTTAATTGCCATTTAAAGTAATAAGAAATAGCCTATAAAATAATGAAAAATACAAATATTTAAAATAAATCATATATATATAATCTTTTTTTTTCTCACTTGTGATACTTTCACTTGGGGACAATCAAAAACACAAATTCCTAATCTAAATGAACCAAACACTATGTGTCTAATCTAATATTGCATGAACTATGGAAAACAAACAGGATTAATCTCATACATGTACGTGTGAATGTTGCATCCTGTTACCTTTTAGGGGGCTGATGACAGCTAGATTGTTTTGGAAAGAGGAAGGACCATCGTGTGCAGTTTTAATCATCTTATGATGCTCAGAACTATATAAGAGCTGATGGGAGAGTGTGTGTTGACAGAGGGCCACATCCTGAGCACCTCGACACATATAGAGACAGAAACAGAAGACCAGCAGGTGAGTGCATCTGGTTAGAAAGAACAGAACATCTAGGATGGAAATGATTTGTGATGTTTTTGTTAGGCTTCAAGTTCCAGTTATGCCTAAAGGTTATACTGATTTAATATGAATTATATATGTTTGCTTATATTAATATATGGTGACCACAAAAAGTATTTGTCCCTTAAAACTCTGAATGTCATTGAATGGCATTTCTTTTAAAGAAAGATAGAACACGCATCAAGCGAAACATTTCACAATTACAGGTGCGTATAATGATAAAAACAACAGATGTTCAAAAAGAAGACAAAATATTATTCTACTTTTTGTTTGTTTGATGTTGGAACATGTTCATATTCACAGGAATGACAATAGCTGCAACGATCAAGCTGTAATAATCGTTCTAATTCTATAAGAATAACAAGTTCATATAATGATAACGGCACAGGGGACGTATTTGCTGGAATTACTTTCAGCGATTTTTTTTTTCCAGATGATGAACAATAAATACATTAACAGCCAATCAGAATCCACTCCATTTTTAAAGAGTACAGGCTAAAACGGCATTTAAAGCTTATAACGTCCGTTGGTGTGGACGCTAATATTATAGTTAACTTAGTTATCGTTCTTGTTGTGAACGGGTCCTTAACGTGAACTTGTTTTGAACACATTTCCTGTATTACTGAACAGTAAACAAGCATTGAACTCTTGTGTGTTTTAGCTGATAAAAGGAAGAGTTTGACTTCATGCACATTCTGCTTATTGTGCACTAACCTTCGTCTAATGAGATTAATTGAGAAACCCTCTTGACAGCAGATTACAGGGGGGCTTGATCATTGTAAGGGGGATTAAAGGAACCTCCTTCATTATCACATGTCTGGACACTGGGATTTAGTAATTATTATACACAGTCTATTCATCTGGTGAAACCTATAAACTATTTCCGGTTTGATCATCATAAAAAATTAATCATAATAATCGGTTTTTGATTAATCTTTATTCCTCTTTAGTGGAAATGCAACTGTTGTTTACTGGCCCAAGTCTCTCAGACATTCTGGTCTCTAGATAGAGCGTCCTACCTTTAATGTGAGGCCATAGGATTTTCCTTTTTTGTTGTTGTTGTTCATTTTTTTTTGTCCTCTAACAAGTGTGAAGTGTTAATACTGTTAATACTGCTAAGCCTGTGTATGAAGACTGGGATTCCAAAACTTATTTGTCAGCTGAACCCTTTTGTTTCGATAATAATAATGAAAATAGTACTTACTGCTAATAAAATAATAATAATTGTATAATAATGCTAATGATAATAATAATAATAATAATAATAATAAACTCAATTTAAAAACTTATTTTCCTAAGTATTTAATCATTGTTGTTGATTATGGTCTTATGATATTATTACTGTTAGTAAAATAACAAAAATGATAAACTTTATTATTATTATTAATGATAATATTATGATATTACTGTTAATAATAATATCTGTCACGTGTGTATTCCTGTTTAGTTCCTGTTTGTCCTTATTTGGTCCTTCCAGTTCCTTTTCCCATTATTAGTAATCACCTGTTCCTTGTTATTAGTTATCCTCATCACCTGTCTGCCCCTCGTTATCTGCCCTATTTGAGTTCGAGCCCGTTCTGTTCTCCCTTGTCTGGATGATAATTTCATTAATAATAATAACTATTATTATTATTAATATTAATTATAACATTAATAAAATATGTTATCAATAGTATGAATATTTATCATAATTTGTCAAATATATCATTAGTGTAATATAATAAAAAAATATTATTATTCACGATGATGAATTATTATTATCATCATCATCATTATCATTATTATTATTATTATTATTGATGATGATGATGATAATAATAATAATAACCACAGCAGAAAACATTATAATTATTTATATAATAATCAATTATAATTATTTTTTATTATTATTTTACATTGTTATGATTTAATTCATGATTAATTTTCATCAAACTACCACAGTTCCTTCAGGAACCTCCAGTTTGGGAAACCCCGGATTAAGATAAGTACACTAAAATAAAAAAATGACACACTTCACCTTTAAACTCAGTCGAATAGAGCCATTATTTGTCTATAATGGGTAATCGTAACTGGGATTGCAAAATGAGGATGATTGTGTGATAAAATGAAATATATTGGAAAGCACTAAAGGGACAATTATACGAAAAATCTGAATAGGAGCAAAAACAACAAGCAGGCCAAACTATGAGTCCAGATTTAACTGGAAAGCATTAAATACTGGAGAGGCTCTTCATTACAAATTAGGTTGTATAATCCTTGTATTTAACTTTGGACTACTTCAGTGTTGGAAAACCATGAAAATTCATCATGATGTCAGCCCCTCTCTCGATTTCCACTCACACATTGATTTCCCAGTCTCTGTAGGTATCGGCCCCGCAGCACTGCAGGCCCGTCTGGATCTCATCAGTGATGAACCTCAGGTCCAGGTCGTCCTGGTACCGCACCATAGCGGCCAACATGCCTGAGCGCAAGTACTCCGCGATCTGACCCTGCAGGCTGTACAACACGACCGCCACCAAAACCTGCGCCTCCACCAGGAGCAAGATGCGGCCAAGAAGGACTGAAGCAGACACATGTTCTCCCGCAGTGCCCCCACGCATCCCATCAGGCTCAGCAGGGCCAGAACGAGACCCAGGAAGCAGAAGAGCAGCATGGGGTCCGTCCCGATACCGCTGATCTTCTCCTGAGCGAAGGATTCTTTGTTGATCAGGCCCCAGAGGCCCACGACCAGCGTGACCAGACCAAGAACAGAGAAGAGCAGGTTGCTCGTGACCAGGAGATACTTGAAGATGTAGTCGCTCCAGCTGGACGGACTGAGCGCTCGTGAGGTGAAGACGTTCCTTGATGAAGCTCTGGTTGACTCTTCATGGCTGGATAAAGTCGAGCTCGTCTGACTTCCTGAACTGTCGTGCGTTCCCAGATACGAGACAGATGAGGCACCTTCTGCGTTTCTTACATCTCCCTTGATGGTAATAAGAAGTAGAAAGTTCATGAATTTGGTCAGTTGATTACCCCAAGACAGTCTGGGTCAGATTCACTAAATAGTTGCAGTGCATTAATAATAATAATAATAATAATAATAATAATAATAACAAAATACAAAATTAAAATTATATAAAATATTATATGAAAATTAACATTTAAAAAAACATAAAAAATTTGATTTTTAAATTTATAACTAAAATTTAAAACTAAAATTGAGATAAATGTAAATTTTAAAATGTTTTTTAAATGCAAAAAATAATAAAAGCACAAAAAATATTAAAATAAGTGTTAATAACATTATTATTATTATTATTATTGTCATTGTTTAACAATATTGTATTATTGTTGCTATTATTATTATTATTATTATTCAAAAGTAAATAATATGAAATATTATAAATATAATTGAATATGGATTACAACAAATAAATTATAATAAAATAAAAATTAATTTAATAAGAATAATAGTAGTAATGACGATGAAGATGATGATGATTGTTATTATTATCAATAATAATAATTTTTAATTATTATCATAAATTATTTCCAGATAATTTAATAAAGCACTCTTGGTCAGTTGAATACATTTAGACAGTTTTGGCCAAATTTATTAAATATTTTATGTAGTAATACTACTACTACTAATAATAATAATACATTTCTATATTTATTATTATTATTATTATTTATCATTTTAAGCTATTATTATTAATTCATTCTAAATAATCAAACACGCTTGCAACTCTCTGAACCATATTGCTAAAAAAAAAAAACTAGTCAGTTTGTTGCTAAATAATTTGTTACAGGTAATCCTGCCCTAAACATATCATTGGTTGAACCAAAAGTTACATTGCTCAAATAAACTGAAAGAATATTTCACTGAACAACACTATTAACAGACACAGTTAATTAATTTTCCATAGTCAAAAACGTTGTTTGTTGATGAGATTAATGTGCTTTAAAAAGTCCAATCAACTGACAATTTTAGCCAGTAGAAATTCAAATAAATTAAACTGAAAGAAACCACGCTACCTTTGGAATAAGAGGCTTGTTCTCTCCATTCTGGAAGTGATTCCTCCGCTCCCAGAAAAAGAGAAATCTCCCAAAAAGGCGGAAACCGCCCCATACCTCCCAAATACCGGGAGTGGACTCTCTCTGTGCTCCAGACTGTCAGGGAGGGATGCTGGTCGACTGAAGGGCTAGAG